TAAGCTGCGTTGGGCAGCGATGGAGCTGCGTTCGAGCTGTGCTTGGCAGCGATTGGAGCTGCGTTGGGCAGCGATTGATAAGCTGCGTTGGGCAGCGATTGATAAGCTGCGTTGGGCAGCGATTGATAAGCTGCGTTGGGCAGCGATTGATAAGCTGCGTTGGGCAGCGATTGATAAGCTGCGTTGGGCAGCGATTGATAAGCTGCGTTGGGCAGCGATTGAGCTGCGTTGGGCAGCGATTGATAAGCTGCGTTGGGCAGCGATTGAGCTGCGTTGGGCAGCGATTGATAAGCTGCGTTGGGCAGCGATTGAGCTGCGTTGGGCAGCGATTGATAAGCTGCGTTGGGCAGCGATTGAGCTGCGTTGGGCAGCGATTGATAAGCTGCGTTGGGCAGCGATTGAGCTGCGTTGGGCAGCGATTGATAAGCTGCGTTGGGCAGCGATTGAGCTGCGTTGGGCAGCGATTGATAAGCTGCGTTGGGCAGCGATGGAGCTGCGTTCGAGCTGTGCTTGGCAGCGATTGGAGCTGCGTTGGGCAGCGATTGATAAGCTGCGTTGGGCAGCGATGGAGCTGCGTTCGAGCTGTGCTTGGCAGCGATTGGAGCTGCGTTGGGCAGCGATTGATAAGCTGCGTTGGGCAGCGATTGATAAGCTGCGTTTGTGCTGCGTTTGGCAGCGGATCTGAGCTGCGTTTGCAGCGTTTGGAGCTGCGTTTGCGCTGCGTTCGTGGCTATGAACGCGGTATGTCTTGATGCTGGTACGCGGGGAGGATTTCCACATCTTGGTTTGAAGAGACCGTCGATTTGTAGTCTCTTTCTGTCGAAGCTTTGCAAAGATCGTCATTTTGTAATCTTTGCTTTAGCTCTTCGATATGTGAGAGTCATCAGATTGTAACTCTCGATGTTGATTGTGAAGGTTGTTGATTAGAGCCTTCATCAGTTGTCGTGTAGGTCGTCAGATTGTAACCTTCAGCGATCTATGTGAAAGTCTTCGAATTGTAGCCTTCTGGAAGTCGTCAAATTGTAACTTCCATCATCGGTGTTTGATGAGGATCAGCTATCTATTATGATTTTTAGACAGCCTACACATAGCTTCTTGTCGTCAGTATCATGCAAGTCTCTTTCAATAATAATCACTTAGATAAGAAGATGGAATTAAGTATGAGTTCCATTGATTTAAAAATAAGAGTAGAGAACGTTTTTTTTTTTTTTACTGCGAAAACGAAGAGTATTTTATTATCACAAGAATTGGGATGATTTTATACTATCAAGTCAGAAGACCACAAGAATTAATAGTGTCCTATGATTTTATGGCTTTACCTGCATCCAATTGTAGATCCAATTTAAGGCACTTAGGCCCATGTAACAGTCTTGTGAGTATTTTATTATTACAAAGAGAGGCGCTACAGTCACACCTTAAACCACACCCCTAACCATACTCCTCTCTTGCTACAGTGCACTGGGGCTCACATGAATTTTTTTTAAAAATTCTCATGTGGGCCCCAGTGCACTGTAACGAGAGAGGAATGTGGTTTAGAGTGTGGTTTAAGAGTGTACCTCTAGCATTTTCCTATTACAAAACTATAATGACTCAATGATTCAAAGACAACAGAAATAATTTATTATCATCCAAGAAAAAGAAATTACATTTATTCCCTCTCTCAGGGATGTTTAAGATTGTCAAAAACCTTGTTTCTTCTGTGAAAGGTTTAATAGCTGGGCCTTAGGGCGGGCCTCTGCTATACATCGCTATTGGGCTTCTAGTCAACAATGGCAACTTCATTGGGCCGGTGGTAACTTAATTGGGCCTCCCTGAACCTTATTGTCAATATTTATAAAAAAAATTAAAAAAAAAATCCTCTGAGAAACTTGTACTCTTCATAGATATATACCGAAACTCCCAAGTCACAATATTACTGCAACATGCATACTACAAAAGGTAACTAGTATTCAAGATACGTACACATTTAAAAACACTTCTACCCAACTTTAACCAACAATAACAAAATGCTACAATTAATGACACAGCCCAAGCTCTGATCATTCACTCATCCTCCTCATCGGTAACGAACTTGCCAGTGCCAGGATTCAACGCGGCGAAGAAGAAGAAGATGACGTTGAAGATGATCAGCGGTTCGAGCTCGTTGATGGGCACACCGGTCTCTATGTTGAGTTGGGCCAGGGCTCCCTTCCCAGTTATAATCTCTCCTATGAGTGAGAATGCAATCCCCAATTGTGCTAATCTCCCCACAAATAGCTCGTTTGACTTTGTGAATCCAAAGAGAGGACCTTCGAACATAAACATAAACATAAACAACATTTATGTACATAGGTATGGAACATAGTTTCAATAATCATAAGAGACATTGTTAATTTATAATCTTAGAATATGTTTTCATGAGCAAATATGTAAAGCCGCAGGTTTTATATTACAAAAAAGAATATTTAGGTGACAATCACATTAAATGAGCTTCTTCTTTTTTTTTTCTTTGTCAGTTACATACTATACGAAATTATTTCTTAAATTATATAGAAATCTCTAAATTCATTCCGTCGCTTTAGTGTGATTTTAAGTTCAACATATATAGAATTGAGTGTATATTATACATACACATACACATATATGACTAAACGGTGGCTATAGCATCCTATATTTTCTGGCTGGTGTATAACTGACATGACACACATCTATGTCATCAAGTATGATATGAATTTGTTGATGATCTAGGTTGCAGGGGTTGCAGCGGACAAACCCAAGCCCGTTAACGGTATGTATATGCATGTAAATTTACATATGCATGTATCTTAAGTTTATGATCTTCTATGATAACTATGATGTGTATGAGCTAATAGTCTGTTTTTACCTCCTTCCACAGCCTTCTCGAGGCCTGTGGGAGAATCGTCGACGAATCTCCCACGATCACCGAGAGCTCCAATGGCTCCAAGGAGAGTGAAGAGGATGAAGAAGAGGAGGAGAGGCTCAGCTTCATAGATTGGGATTCCTGTCTCCAGGTTTAGTTGCGCTAGAATTCCCTTGCCTGTGATTCCTTCTCCTAGTAGAGATGCCTTCAAGTAAAAGCAAATTATCGGCTGTTAGTGTTAGTATTATATATACAAGAAGTAGAATCGCATAAAATATAGTTTAACTTGATTTAATTGTGATTTGTACTCCTAAATTTGATATGTAACATTAGTACATCAATGAAAATTAAGCATTTGGTAATATTTTCACAGTTTAATAAACAAACATTGTCTGTAATAGCTTATAATATGTATGTGTAACATATGAAATCTGAGAATACTATTATACTTATCAATTACTGGGTACCACAAATGGAAACAAAAGTACAAGTAGATAGAATTCAAGAACTATGCAACTTTATCAATTTTATAAAACATAAATAGTACATTCTTAATTTCAAGTTAAGAATCATGAGAATGTACTCACTGCAAATCCAATCATGGCGACACGACCCACAAAGAGTTCATTCTCCTTTGTGAAACCAATCCCTCCTGAGGTTCCAAAGATGCCATCTTCAACCTTCGGCTTCGCCTTCTCAACCTGTAAATCATCATGAATTTAGTAACAGAAACGATATCGGATATCGTTCAGGGTTAATTGTTGATGCATTCCTCTACTATACGGACTTAGAGGGTGTTTGGGAGGCTTATTTTTTGGTCAAACTAGTTTTTACGCTAGCTTTTTTTTATTTCTACCTATTTAGTAAAATGGCAAATAAGTTAGCTTACAAGTCCCATTTTAAAAAGCTGGTATAGCTCAGCTTTTGAAAAACTAGCTTATAAGCTCACTTAAAAAAGCTAGGTTTGACCAAACAAATTACTATTCTACTCAAACAATTTTTATAATATTTTTATCAAAAAGACCGAAAGCTATTAAAAGCAAGTATAACTAATAAGCTTTAAAAAATAAGGCTTCCCAATCGCCCTCTTAGACACATTCTCACAATATTAATTTCAATTAATCTGAATGTAAAAAGTAATTTATTATTATCACAGTGATTCCCTCGTACTAGCAGAAAAATGATGCTCGTTTAGAATCCAGATGGTGTAAGTGCTAATAAAATAGTTTGAACATATCGATAATTATATAGCTTTACATCTAAAAGACATGCAGATGTACCTTCTTCGGAGCAGCCTTGGCTTTAGACTTGAAGAGAGCAAGAGTTGGCAGATAAGAAGGAGAAGAAGAAGAAGGGAAGCCTCTTCGAGAGGAGGGCGAAGAGAGAACGGTAAGAGAGAACGGAGTTGGACGAAGACGACGAACTTGAGACTGGAGCAATGGCTCCCTCTTGGGCTCGAATACTTGGTTTCCTCCGAGAGTACTGGACATGAACATGGATTGAGCCATGGGTTTTCAATTCTTCAGCTCTTTGAAGGGTTAAGCTGTGATGAAAGATGTTGAGAGCTTTATCGTGTGAGTGTAGGGGATAAGGGGGTGTAGCTGTGGTGGGCAAAGAAGAGACCACGTTTGCGAGCGTTAGATTTTGGTAGGGGGGGGAGCAAATTAATAGTTTTGGAGTGCAAATAGTTAGGTGGCACTTGGCAAATAATTAGTGAAGAGTATATTAATTATTGGGTTTTTTGTTTTTTCTTTTTTGTGAATTTCGAATTGTGAGCTTGAGGGGGTACACGTGGTTTTGTTCGAGATTTGATTGGTTATTGGTGGAGGGGATCCACTCGCTCGCTTTCCTCTCTTTTAGGAGGGAATTGGATGGATGTAGTCCTATGGCTACGTTTAATTTGTTTGGTTTCTTGCAATGTAGTTTGCATTTTTATGGGAGTTTTTGGAAATGGTTTTGGAAATTGTTTTTGAGATGTGTTGGTCAGTCATCTAGGGTGTGAAAGAAAAGTCTAGAGCATGGAATTTATGATGCTCATGGGTGATTTTAAAATTTTAGGACACTTTGATGTGTTGGTCAGTCATCTACAACATTTTCAAACATGCAACTTCCATAATAATACTAAAAACAAAGTAAGGTTTTTTTTTTTTTAAAAACATAACATACTTCATAGATGAAATAATTCATCCAGGATAACGTCGTAGACAGATTCTCGCCCTCGACGAAAATATCCGTCTACAGTGCAGCATCCCTAGACAGACTCATTAGCGATGTAACATCCTATACAGAATTTTCAGAAATTCTACATGGATTTTTCCGTCTATCCATCCAGGATGCCGAATTTTTTTACTAATGAAGGTGTTCCTTTACTTTTTACTTTGTTTTCAGAACATATCAATATTGTTTTTCACTTTTCCTTTCTAAATTAATGGCAGTATAGAAGTTTATTTTCATATTAAATACTAACGTTTTACTGAATGAATGTATATGTTTCTATATTGTTTTCAAAAATAATATTGCCAGTAAATCATAAACGCAAAGGAAAATTTATAGGTTGCAACCCTTATTTAGTGTTCGTAAATGATCGAATCGAACCAAAAGCTAATGTCTTCATATTTGTATTTGTTAAAATATTCAAATTCAAACCCTAGTTCAAATATTCATATCAGTAGTTTCTCGACGAATATTCAGTATTTGAAAAATATTCATGAATATTCATGAATATTTGTTAAATATCAATATATATTCATTCTACTAAAGAATTTGATTTTCAAGTAGTATTTAAACTTATGAATAAAAATCTTTCCTTTATAATTATGATGTATGTGTATCCCATTATCAAACTGAGTTAAGATTATTTAAGTCTCTTAAAATTAGTATACAAAACTTAAAGTAGAAATAGTAAGTAGGATTAAAATATAATATCAATCGTGAAATCAGACAAATTGGAAAGCGATCAAATTTTAAACGAATATTTAATAAGCAAACTAAAGGCGCATTTGGTTAAAGTTTTTTGAGACGGAAAGAAGTTGAAAGCTGACATAGCGTGTCAGAGCACCAGTTCTTTTTCTGATGCTGTCCCCCACCCATTTCACTGACATATTTGTTGCGCGCAGCGGAAATTTCGGCAGCACTTCGGCAGCACAACAAGAGAGTCAGGTCGCAATAAGAATTCTTGTTTCTCAAAGGGAACAAGAATCTGAAGCCTATATCCTATCAAAGTAGGATATTAGCTCTTCCTCTCGTCAGCTCTAGGACTGCGCGTCGAGGGACCCTAAAAGCTATTACAAATCACACAAAAGCAGTACAACCAATTTTAACGTGGTTCGGCAAATTGCCTACGTCCACGGGGCAAGGAGGGGGAGATCTACTAATAGAGGGAGAGAATACAACTAGGGTTTACAATCACTCACAATTTAAACCCTCAAACAAACTCTCAAATCCCTCACACAAAACTCTCTCAAAAGGCTGTACTAAACCCTAAAAGAAACTCACAAAAAATCTCCTCAACTGTCTGCAGCCGCACGCCTTACACTGTAGCCGCCAAATTCACAAATCCTCCTTGCGTACAGCCAGCCCTAGGAAACAAAAGCCTATATATAGGCTTGCAATTATTCTTCGGGTGGGCCTGGTACCTGGTACCGAAATTTGTGGGCATCCATGCTCACTTCCGTATTCACGTGGCCCCCACCTGCACAATTCTCCACCTCGGTGAAGTTTTCCCAAAACTGATCCGACACCAAAGCATCCAAATGTCTCACTTGTTATGTCCAGTACGAACTCAATCCACAACAAAGTCGAGAACCCGGACGAGAGTCCAAACAATCTCACCCCCATCAACTAATCCAAACCGGCTGCATCTGAAAGACTGCCTACGTATCCTCTTGCCCAAGGAATCAAGCCGAACGTAGTTCACCCAAATGGCCGACAACGGCCTCAACAATTACGAATGTGCAACAAGTTTCGACAATGATCAAACTTGTTGCTCGGAACCACCTTAGTGAGCATATCCGCCGGATTATCCTTCGTGTGGACTTTCACAATTTCCACATCGTCATCTTCAAGAACATCTCGAACGAAGTGATAACGAACATCAATGTGCTTCGTCCGCGCATGAAAAACCTGATTCTTCGCCAAATAGATAGCACTCATGCTATCACAATGAATAGTGACGGACCTCTGCGATATACCAAGTTCCTCCAAAAGTCCTCGAAGCCAAATAGCCTCCTTCACAGCCTCCGTAACTGCCATATACTCTGCCTCCGTCGTAGACAAAGCCACCGTCGACTGTAAGGTGCATCTCCAACACACCGGCGCACGGGTCAAAGTGAACACATACCCCGTCGTAGACCGGCGCTTATCCAAATCCCCAGCATAATCCGAATCAACATAGACAATGCATAGCTACCCACCTGTAGTGTCCCGCTCATAAACCAAACCAACATTGAGCGTACCTCGAATGTACCTCAAAATCCATTTCACGGCGTCCCAATGACCCACTCCTGGATCGTGCATGTATCTCGAAACCATGCTTACCGCCTGTGACAAATCTGGTCTCGTACATACCATTGCGTACATCAAGCTCCCAACCGCGCTCGCATATGGAGTCTTCGACATCAACTCACGATCTTCAACTGACTTCGGTGAAAGACCAGCTGAAAGCTTCAAATGGGCTCCCAATGGTACACTAACTGGCTTCGTATCCATGCTAACATGGAATCGCTGTAGAACCTTCTTCAAATAAGCCACCTGTGTCAAACAAATTCTGCCCTTCTTCTTGTCTCTGCCGATCTCCATCACTAGAATGCGCTTCGCCTCACCCAAGTCTTTCATCTCAAACTCATTTGATAGCTGAACTTTCAATTCATCTATAGCCGACCTGGAAATAGAGGCAACCAACATGTCATCGACATAGAGCAACAAATAAATATACGCACCTCCTTTCAACTTGCGAAAATATACGCAAGGATCAAACTGGCTCCGAGTGTACGAATGACCAAGCATAAAACCATCAAATCGCCTATACCACTGTCGAGGAGACTGCTTCAAACCGTATAGCGATTTCTTCAGTTTGCAAACCTAAAGAAGTCATTACTTTAATTACAGTTATCTACTATTTAGTGGACAATTATAATTTTATCTCGATGGGAATATGGACAATTATATTTTTTTTCTTGATAGAAATGTAGAGATAAATGCATATCATGCATAGGAGATAAAAAGGTATTAAATATGAATGAATCATTAAGCTTTTAGATAATAAAGATGTTGGATATGAGATGCAAGTCGGGGAAGGGGGAGTTGAATAGGATTGTTATCGTTTTTTTGCCAAAAACACAGAATATGCAGTGGAATACATAAAATAAAAGCGATAAATGAAATAAAGCAATATAATTGTAGGATGTCTAAAAATTACTACAGATAGCTGATTCTCATCAAACATTGATAATGGAGGTTACACTTCGACGACTTCCAGAAGGCTACAATTTGAAGACTTTCATGAAAATCGACGAATGTTACAATTCAACGACTTTCACAACAACCGATGAAAATTCTGATTCGACAACCTTCACAATCATCAACAAGAGTTACAACTGACGACTTTCACATTTCAAAGAGCCAAGACAAAGATTATGAGATGACAATCTTTGCAACGCTCTAATAAAAGAGACTACAAGTTGACGGTCTCTTCACCACAAGACGCAGAAGCTCACCTCTGCCTTCTAGAGTCAAGACGCAGAGCTCATCTCTGTGTCCCAGGAATAAAATATGAAACTCACAGCCGCGTTTCAAGAACAAAACGTAGGGTTCACCATTGCATTTTCAGACTCAAACGCAGGATTCACCATTGCATTTTTAACCCCAAACGTAGAGCCCAACTCCGCGTCTGAAGTTCAAGACGTAGAGTTCATTTCTAGAACGCGGATTTCGTGTTTGACTCGTTTAAACACGAGCTGAACGGTTCCAAAACCATTTCCCGTGATTTGAGGGGGATTACACCCCCACTAAGGAGCGATTTTAGGGGTTAGTTAGACCCCTTAATCCCCTATAAATAGCTAAAAATCAGTTTAAATCGGATATTCTAGCAGATTGGGATCAGCAGCAAAGATCTCTTTGGAGGGGGGACCTTTGATGATTTTCGGATCTGAAGGTTCGGATCTTAGCTTGGGATCTTTGGTTCGGATCTTAGTGAGGGGGGAGAGATCTGGGGATCATCCTAGAGGATCGGCTTTTGGGATCGCCTTGATTTTGGCTTTGAAGGTGGGATTTTCGAAGCATCTTGATCAGCTCCAGTTTAACTTGTCTAGAAAGTTTATTTCAGCTAAAAGGGATTGAAATCTCTTTTTCAAATCAACTCTTTTGCAGAGTTTTCAACTTGCTCGTCAAGTTCTTCTAAGCTCGTTCAGAGTTCTAAAATTTGCTTTGCAAGTTCGTCCAAGTCGTCGAGTCAAGAGGCGAAGACCAAGTTTCACAAGGTGAAGCATTCGGATCGTCAACGGGATACAAGAATCAAGCTCCCATCGACACCAAGAAGAACCTAGTTTTAAATAAATGGCAGGGTCTCTGTTGATCCCTTCTCTCTTTTGTAAATCGAGAAACCGATATATAGGAGTTATAATTTCTTTTTCTAAATCAGTTAGAGAGAGATTGCAAAGAGAGATTGTATTCATTCTTTTCCTAAGTCAGTTAGGGAGATTAATACAAAATTTTATTCTCATTTCTTCTTTAATTTTTCAAAGAACAATAATCAAATATCAAGAACAATCAACAAGGAATATGCAAGATATTATAGCAGTTCGGATGACAATCCTATGTCTACTCTTCCTTTTCAAGAAGAGACTTGTTCGTTATGCAAAGAGCTAACTTGAATCACAATCCCGATTTAGTAAACTTACAAGACCACACATTAGAATCCGTACAAAACCATTCGTCTAACCTAACTCCCACAATGAGTAACTCCAATTTGAGTACATTGTCAAAGAAGCTTAAAGCAAAACCAAAAACAATAATTAAAGCTTAGCATATAAGAAATATCTTATAGTCCTTTTGTTAAACAAACTGTCCTTCAAAAATATAAGCGTAGCTCGATGAGGAACAGTAAAGAAGATCAATCTAACAGCAAATTTCCTTGTTGAAAAGATATGAAGATGTTGTGCGTGACGAGTGAGAACTTGACGATGCTTCAATGGTAAAACTCTTCAACATAATCTCTCACAAATCAAAACCATAGAATTCTTCCCTCTCTTTCAATGATATAAAATTTCCAATAGGACAGGAAAGAGATATCCCAAACGTGATAGAAGTTAGAGAATATATAAACAATGAACAGTTGAGATTAAATATGAAAAATCTATAGCTAACATGTTTGCCATCTATGATGGCTCTCAACCATCGACAGTGTCGAGGCCCCATCAATGGTTGAGAAGCTCATCAATGATATAAAAGTCTCTGAAGTAAAAAAATCATCAATGATGTATTTTGACCATCAATGAGCTCTTCTTACCATTGATGGTCAATGCCTACCATAGACGGTAGAAATGCTGAAATTTACTTTTGAACTTGTTTTCACGTTGTTTCACCTCGTACACTTTTATACCTGTATTTACCTGTACTATATCATCTCAATTAATATTACTACCAAATGAGAGTTTGTTATTACTCAAACCAGAGATATGGTAAGGACTACATCTTAACAAAAGAAACGATTGATATTGGACTTGTTGCATCCTAATTATATTTTAACACTATTAACTATGTAAGAATATCTTAAAATAAAAACAGATTGGGATCACATTGTTAGCACCCATGTACATCCCTAAACATCATGTTTGCTACCTTTCCACTCCTTTTTTTAAACCACTTCAACAAAATTCACATTCTAGATCGTGGGTGTTCAAAGGCATGAGTATGGCCTTTTTTCAAAGAGTTCAAAATTTGTAGGCTGCACCTTTGACGTGATTTTTTCTGTCTCTCACTTTTCTACAAGGCAATGAGCTTTACACGTCTCAAATAAGTAGATGACTACATTGATATATAGCTCCCATTTATATAGTTCATATAACAACTTTAATTACATCCTTAATGAAAAAGAGAATGGTAGGTAGACTAGACTCAAACCACTTTGTTGTTTTTTTAAATTGTTCTCATAACATATTTGTCCTTCCAATAGTCCTTCTAATAGTAATACCGTTGCGCACAGCGGAAATTTCGGCAGCACTTTGGCAGCACAACAAGAGAGTCAGGTCGCAATAAGAATTCTTGTTTCTCAAAGGGAACAAGAATCTGAAGCCTATATCCTATCAAAGTAGGATATTAGCTCTTCCTCTCGTCAGCTCTAGGACTGCGCGTCGAGGGACCCTAAAAGCTATTACAAATCACACAAAAGCAGTACAACCAATTTTAACGTGGTTCGGCAAATTGCCTACGTCCACGGGGCAAGGAGGGGGAGATCTACTAATAGAGGGAGAGAATACAACTAGGGTTTACAATCACTCACAATTTAAACCCTCAAACAAACTCTCAAATCCCTCACACAAAACTCTCTCAAAAGGCTGTACTAAACCCTAAAAGAAACTCACAAAAAATCTCCTCAACTGTCTGCAGCCGCACGCCTTACACTGTAGCCGCCAAATTCACAAATCCTCCTTGCGTACAGCCAGCCCTAGGAAACAAAAGCCTATATATAGGCTTGCAATTATTCTTCGGGTGGGCCTGGTACCTGGTACCGAAATTTGTGGGCATCCATGCTCACTTCCGTATTCACGTGGCCCCCACCTGCACAATATTCTAGCTTTCCACCCAATTCGCTAAATTTTACAGCGTTTTGGGCGGAAAGCTGCAAGCTGTCAGAAATACCCAACAATCTTCAGCAATCCAAACGGGCCCTAATCGAAAATACATCTAGGTAAATTCTATTCAATAATAAACTAGAATACAGAAAAATATTTATTTAGTATTAAATAAACTACCGAATCAAATATAATCGAATAGTTATTCCAACAGTTAACGAATTATTTGCTAATTATTTGCTTGATTTCCACTCCTGCCCGTATCGTTCAAATAAAAGACTTAATACCAAGCTTAAATGGGCCGTTCTTTAGTTGGGCCATCATTGGGCCGAGCAACAACGGGTTTAAGAAACGCTAAAGACGGCCACTTCACCTCCTCCATTCTCCCCGACCGCCGGCTAGTCTCAGCCCGCCCGCGCTCCTCCTCTAAAAAAAGACCAAACTGCCCCTCGTCGATCTTACTTCATCTTCAAGTAAGTATTCTCTCTTCAAAGAATCGAACTTTTTTCGCCCCCAATCTCAAAATCAAGAGCATGTACAAGCTTTATGTTCTATCCTCCAAATTCTTCCTATTTATACATCAGAAAACAAAGGAATATATGATTGGATCTTACGATTTGAACCCTTTTGCTGTTTAAAACGGAGATTTTACATGGGTTTTGGGGGGGTTTGGGATTGAAGATGAGCTGTTTGATATTATGCCACTCTCAACTTCGGTGTTCTCTTGTTAGTTTATTAGCCAAAACAAGATTATTTTAGATGGATATCACGGTAGACGCATTGGCCTTAGTTTGTTTAGATCCAGGAAACCCTAATTTCATTTTGCTAGAAATTTGTATGATATGATTCTTGTGTGGAATGGCCCTTTTCAACAGTTGGGTGGTCCCGGGCAGAGATGAACAAATTGTTGGAGTATGGAAGGAAAGCGATGTTTCTTGTTCGGGTTCTTTCTGGGCATGAAGAAAGGAGAATCAGAGCTTACAGGCTGCAGCTGCAACAGCGAATGGAAAAGGTCAAAATTTTGCCTTCATTTGATGGTTCTTGTTTTGGATAGTGTTTAATAGTTTCATGTGATGATGTGTTGAGTTGTTTTTATTAGCAAACCATGCCATGGAAAATGAACATTTTGTTATATTCATCGCCCCGGTGGATTAAAGAGTGGAATTTCTTGTTCAAGCCTGTTTATAGTGGTTTTTTTTAGATATTAGCCCCTTGAGTCATTGCTATTTGGATACTAGTCCCTCAAATCTTCATATTTCGATATTAGTATATTCCTCCCTCAAATTGCATTAGTATGTTGATATTAGTCCTTGTGGTTAGTTAGGGTTATAAATGCAAGGGGATATCCCGTTATCTTTAACCATTATTATTAGTGGGCAGTTATGTCCATCACCTAACGAAACCCGAATCCAATGCTATCCAAACCCAAACCTGTTAGTAGGCTCCAACTTATTCCCGTCTCACCCTTCTTCTACCCCTCAACAGAAAAATGTCAGGGAGCCCAAAAAATCAACTCGTGAGCAGCCTCTTGCTGTCCCCACCGAAAATGCTCAGCAAAGAGCTATTACTTGTTTTATCCTATAGCAGCTAACTCCTAGTTCAGAAAACAAGTTGAAGAATTAAGCAGCAGACATCAAATACAAACAGATGATGCTTCCCTTTTGTTTCGCTCTGATAAGCGCAATACTATATATTGTTAAGGGAATTTATGAATATTCCTTGAAGATTGTCTTTTACCTTGAGGAAGATCATTGTTGCGCAATTCCCCGGATCCCACTCGAACCGTCATACAGTTCCTGCGAACCGATTCCCTTCGATACACGAACTGGTTCCCCAAAATTAGCGTACCACTTACAAGTATGATAGATGCAAAGTCTCTTTAAGTGCACGTGCGCAAGACGCAATGCAATGTGTGCGATTAAGTGAAAGAAGGCACATAATAGAGTGTATGAATAATGATCCGATGATTTTACTGTAACTTAAAACGTATGTTAATTAAATATAAAATAAAACCATGATCCTAAAATGAGCGCCGTGGAAAAAAACAGAACAAAGAAATGAATTCCATTAAAAAAAAGTATTTAAGTATTTTATATGAAAAAATATTAAAATTCATAATTAGCTTTCTAGTTTTCTACTATATACTTTGGAAAACTTTAAGCACCCTAAAAAATTTACAACGTACCAACCAAATTTTCGTACCGAAGCAAGCTACCCATTAACGAATCCAAATTTTCTAAGTGCCGAATTATGTGCCCGAACTCGTACCAGTGACCCGCTACGTACCGCGTACTGTGTAATTATGAATTAGATACATTCAAGCTGACATATAGATACACAGCTTGTTCAAAATATCCTTCGAGCAGAGAAGTACAGGTACAAGTGAAGGGCAGTGTGGGACATCGTGAATGGCAGAGGAAAGAGAGTACCACTACTTGTCCTGAGAATCTAGGTGAACTGTTCTACCCTTTGCCTTAGGAATAAAAAGGATAAAAGGGGTAAACCCTCATAGAGTGCAAGCAGACAATATAACTCCAAGCTCTTTAAGGTACTTCAGTAAATATCCTGGCTCTTGTTATAGAGCACAAGCAGGAGAATGGGACAGCGTAATGTGGAGATTGCTATTCCCTGTTGGGCTTCCCTCTACCTCCTCCTATTTCTACGTAGTTTCCAAGTTTCTGTCTGGTTGTTGAGCCAAAGACAGGCTAAGATAGCACCTTAAGCTACCTAGCTACATACCAGTTTTCTAATGTATTTAACCTAACCTGTAGCCTAGTTTCTGATCTCTATTAAGTTGCAGAAAAGATCTCGGATTATAGTGGACGAATATCTTTGGCACAAATCAGAGCTCAAAGACATACTTGGTGAAGAAAATGTTGTGCAAGATGGATATTTCATGACATAGAAAACATGCCCCTTGATGATTTTATTAACTAAGATGAATTGCAGTTCATTAACACACACATGCAAGGGCATACTGCAAGTGCTCACATTGTCACACATGCATGCATGTGCAGTTGTGCCCTCCCTTTGCACTGTTCTAAGCTTACATATTAACTCGTACTATATGATAATGTTCTTATCTTTAAATTTTGACTGGTTTGCTGATGAGTTAATATTTATGTTTCTTTTTCTGATTAGGCACAAGCAAAGAAGGCTGAATTAAAAAGAGTCCCAGAACAGGTTATCTTATCGGAGGTTCGGCGCATGGTAGAGGAAATGCAAGCGCTTAATCGCAAACTTGAAGAAACTGTAAGCTTAAAACGGAGATCCTTATCCACTGATTCTTACTTTTTGGCATTCAACACGCTACAGATAAATCTTTGGATATTGCACCCAGCGTACTCTCTTTTTAAACACAACCAAGCCTAAATATTGTCAAACCTGCAAACTCTTGCTTCACAGGGAACCTTTCTCCAACTTTACTTCACTGTTTGGCACTAGAAACAGCTCATGCTTATCAAATACTATAAAAATCAATTATTTACATATGTATTTTAACATGACTTAGTGAATGGGATCTGTAATACTTTTTTAATACTCCTTTGGAGTTTAGGAATCATATTAGAATCTACCATATATAAACAAATACCCGAGGCCGTGCATTGGGGGGTGCCCCTTAGCCACCCCTTGTGTTTGATACCCATAGTCCGAAGGATTGTGGGCAAGTTACCTCATCAAACAAAAACAGTTTCTGGCTGTATTTGACACAAACTTCATATATCTCCTTTTGATACTTACTTACAGATATTTCTGTAATGTCTTCTTATTTCGTAACATATTTGCAACCAGAAAACCTTTTCGCTACCATTTGGATTCATGTTTGACTCTCACTGGATATTTCTTTGATATGATTTCATATACTATGATCTTATTCTTCTTTCATTATTCATGATAACCTATAATGTTTGTGACAAATATATTGCCTGTATCGTAAACTGAAACAAAACAAACTTAGGATATGCTTCAGCTTAAGGCATGAGAATAAGCACCTCTAAAAAGAGAGGTTATTACTTCAATTAAATTGGAGAGTTGGTAATGTTTATAAATATGGAATGTGTGTGTATGTATGCACGGGAGCACGTGTGCTCCCAGAAGATTTAGGGACAAAAAACATGTGACAACTTCCAAGCATTGTCACATTATCTTAAAGTGATATTTGCAAATGTAATGAACGGGTTCAAACGTGCATTATTGTGGTTAGAAGGTAGGGGTTTGTATGTGCGTGTGCGTGCATGTTTGCGCGCACTCATGTTTGTAGGAAAGAATGTGTGGGGTGTGGCATACTCAGTGTAAGTATGTTGTTCTGATGGGTGGTTGGATTGAAGTATACAAAACATGTTTCCATATTGGATCAATAACTACAATCGACTATGACCATATGCAAGGAAAAATTGCTCAAACTAAATCTGACTATGCAATACAGTCATTCAGGTTGGAATTTTCTTTGTACTCATAATGAAAGGACTTGCTTTGAACACTGTTCCGAGAACAATTTATGATGTATTTCATTCACTTGTCACAGTTGGACTTTAGAAAGAAACTTCTTCATCAAGACACATTGAAAATTTCCCAGGTGATTGGTACCACCACCCGTATAGCCATCATGAATTGTTTCGGTGATTCTTGTGCATTATATCTAGACTCCATATTGGTTCCTGTCATACATGTGATAATTTTTTCTTAGAATCTTACATCGTCTTTTTTGTGGAAAAATAAATATTTTCACTAGTTTGAAACATTTGAAGCAGATAAGTACCACGCACATTCAAGTAGTTTCATATTATTAGGTTAAAACAGATTCAATAATCTCAGCTTCCAGTTAGAAATGTGATCAAGGAAGGCTCAGTTTGTTTAGAGTTCATACTACAATCAGGTCATTGCCGTTGATTAAAGTTGGTTAGAATTTAGAAAAGAAAAAGGAAATATCAAAATTCCTTGCAACATTTTAGTGAGGACTATTAGAAGTTATGATGGTTAATATTGTGATGCTTTGTTAAAAGACATTAATTTTGCTTTTGAGTATTCTTCACTCGTATATCTATCATGATTGATACATTTTTTCCTTCAGGTTTTTAAATTACTTTTTTCATTTTAACTTTTCTGAGATATTTTCCCAGCAACACCTGGAAAATAATATTTTAATCTCTCTCAAAATCCATCATCGGTGGTAAAATCTTAATTCTTCTTTCAACATCTAGGAAGCCGCCATTGAGGATTACTTGAAACCAATTGACAAGAATGCTCACACCATTATGAACATGCAAATTGACAAAGAACAACAACAAATGAAGGAGATGATTAAAGCCATGCAAGAACAGGCAATGCATAACAAAGAGATCGCAGAGAGACAAGTGGAACTTGAAAGTATAGAGGCACAGAAGCAAGCTGAACCAGATAGTGTAGATCAAAGTCCCCAAATTCAAAATATGGTGTCCCGTCAGAAACAAGAGCAAGCCAATTGATGATATATAATCATCCACCTCAAGGGAGAATTACTGTGAGGATACCCAACTTACTGTTAGATTCATATCTGCTATAATAAATATCCCATCAACTATTGTCAGAAATTTTGATTCGTTTATGATGTTCCATGCTATCTTCTCTAGAAAAATGCACTGTTGTAGAAATCCAAGTATTTAAATGCTTCTTGAAGAAACCATATTCTGCTCACTATTGACAACTCTTATTCTTCTGCCACAATCTCGCTTGATGTTATTGTCATTGGATTCCTTATATTTGTTAGATGAACCCTCTTTCTCCTGACACTTGGTAAGGATGAAACTTCTTAGCAATCGGGCTGCCAATTTACAACCAGCTGATACCTTGCCAGTCTTTGCTCTTTCAGCTAAAGGTATGAAGAAGTAAATCTGACCTGAATTTTGGTTTTCCATTAGTTTGTACATGCTTCATTCCTTAATTTTTGTTAATGTAGAATCTTAAATCTGACTTATTTCAAATTCTTACTAATTTAAGGTTCTATGTTGATAAAGTATAAAGCTGTAAATTCTAAATTCAATCCGGAGGTTCAGACAGCTTCAGTTGTCAGTCAGTCATAACTAGATCCCTTGATCAAACTGCTCCATCCAGTTAGTGTCAGTCAATAGAAGTGAGTTCAAAGTTTTGAACCCCAACTCATGATTTGGATTTAACCAAATACAACTGGATGAGACATTTGGGTTTTTAGACTAAACTGATTCACTTTAGGCTGCTTGCCCTCCCTTGAATCTGATGTGCTTTTTTAAGGTACAGTTCTGGACCTGTTGTTGTAAAGTGTTCATAGAAGCACTGATAGCCACCCTGGCCTGTCTATTCAAAACTAAAGTATTGCAGCACATGGCAACTAGATCTATAATGATGCACCACTGCTTTTGTTCTCAGTTCAATCCACACATCTTCCTTCCAACACTTTGCCAACTTTGAGTTAGAAACATAGAGCATGCTAGCACAACTTGTAGGATCTTCCTTTAATTCAAGGCTCTGCCCCCAACCCATACTTTTTCATAGAGGGTTTCCAAAAGTCTACCAAGTTATCCAATGCCAGGAGTTGGCAACAGGCATTGTTCCTAATTTGTCTAGTCTTTGTGATAGTGGGTTTTGGTATCATTTCTTTTCTACTGAATACTGGTAATTATATTGAATTATCAGGCTCCACGGGTATTTACTTCTGGAAAATACTTGGGTCTTATGGTATGAAAGTTAAGTACATATCTTTCTCTATTAGCATTACTCTTTCTCTATTTTATATTTGAACCAAGAGACTTCACTCTCAAGTTAAGGCCTTCATCTTGTAGAGTATGCCATACATCTAGGAATTGGCGTAGTTTTGTTTCCCTAAGATAAAAGGCAAGTTTAAGGTGAGTTAGTGTGAGCCAGTCGTCAAACTAGTTTAAAGATGGCTAGTCACTTGAACATTAACTCTAGATTATTGTTTAAAGTTCATCAGAAGGTTTAATTAGAAATCAAGGATCAACCTTTTTTAGTACATATCTTATCTTACATCAGAAATCGCCGTCGTGCTTTCTTTGCAACAAATGGATTCAAACCACATATACGGAGAGCTAGTAAACGATAGGGAATATGAAGATAACCGGTAGCTATAGTGAATAAGTAGCTTTTAGTCGTATAATATTAAAAATTACCCTCAAAGCAATTAATCATCAAGTTTGATGGGCTAATTTCTAATCTCAATGTAAAAATTATCAACAAAATAGTCAAAATTTTATCACCAAGTTGCTGATTTGTTAATTTTAGGGGTATTTCCCCCCCAAAGTTGATGTATGAGGGTGGTTTTGCAAATACTAAAATTTGGGAGGGGACATTTTTTGCAAATACCCATAATTTAAGGGGTATATATGCAAGTAACCCGATTATTAACCATGCTTCACGGAAGTATGTTACAATGAGCTTTACTTTTTCTTGTTACTGATTGTTACCCTCCTATGGCAAAAAGTCATTGTTATGGATTCAATGTACATTGGTTCTCAAAATTGTATCTGGTGATATTTTGGACGCTCTTGAACGATTTCTTGATCTTATATAAATCCTTTTGAATGAATAGGGAAGGGATTTTGATTAGAATTTGATATTAAAAATTGTCCTCGGTTTGACGGTAAATGTAGATGTTTTTTGGCTGGATTGCATTTAAAAATAAAAAAAAAATCACTACCTCTATCCATGAACACTTGTGTAAGTCAGTCGGAATTTTAAAGAATTAGAGAGCTGAGAATTTGCCTGAAGAAAAAAATGCAATGAGTTGGAACTGTGAAATGGTGGACTTAAGTAGAGATGATCTAGAGGAGAAACAACATAATATTATTACGCAACCTGACCCTTTCTTTCTTTCTTTATTTTTAATTATATATATCTGAATCATTTATCAGTCATCTGTATTGCTCTGTACATTATAGACTATTTGTCAAAATGTGGTCCTATTTACAATCCACCCATCTCTTTTGAATTTGTGGCAGCTGGTTACAACACCCTCCCCATTATTTCAAGTTTCATGTTCAATTTGCACATATTATATTGATTTTTATAAGTTTATGGTGTGCATGAGCTGATGAATGCTAAGTTGACTGAGAAATTTCACGCCCCACTCACTAGTATATTGATCCTGTGATCCTTGTATTCATGACAATTATGATGTCACCTCTTACAATTGTTTCAGCTGATTGATCGGCCATTTGTAATTACACTTCATGATATTTGAGCTTATTGATTATTTTGTTTTGTTTTTATTTTGAGCTGGTCTCTTTCCCCCTCATCAATAATTGTTCATTCCCCCCATGGAGGCACTCATAGCGAGCTTGATTCCAGGGGCTTACTTGCTATTTTGTTGCAGGCTTAGTGGCATGCATGATGCATGCATGCTACCTTGGATGCCACGCCTTTCCCCCCAATTATTCATGTCTTTTAGGGGGTGTTTGTTTCACCAAAACTTTTGGCATTTTGTATGGATTACAAGATTTTGTATTTTGGGATTCCATATATGGTGTTTGTTTTAAGAAAATTTTTAGAATATCGAATCTCAAAAGTGCAAAAAGTGTCCAATTTTTAGAATTTGACAAATCCCCACAATTGGAGACGGTTTTGACGAATCCCATAAATGGGTGTGCTTACCTCTCAATTGGAGAGGATTTGACAAACCACTATTTTGTCTTTTCGTGGGAGGTAACATCATCAAGGTTGCATATTCATCATATTACAAAATTTTGGTATTTGGTAATGCTACAATTTGAGCTTGAAACAAACAAAATATTACAAATTGTAGTATTACAAATCCCAAAATATTAATGAAACAAACAACCTTTTAGAAATCACAACCCATAACAAAACACCTATGGATTTCAAATCCCATGGTGAAATCCATATCCTAAAATTATATGATTTGAAACAAACAGCCCCTTAGCATGTGAATTTCTAACAAAGACTTCACTTATGATATGTATCAATATGCATATTTAAAAATTTTGGTTTTTTTTTTTTTTTTTTTTTTGGGGGGGGGGTAGCTTAAAAAAAAAGTTGCTCCTTTTTATGTTTTGGGAGTGTGAGTGTGAGGTCTCAGTTACGGATGATGATCCTCTACTAATGAGGAGGTTCCTAATATCTCCTAATGGGATCTTGGCCTTTGTTTTATCAATCAAAGGTCAAGATCTCCTCATGAGCAAAAGCAGGGGGAGGATAAGGATGAGATCTTGGTTTTTGATTGATAAATCAAAGGCTAAGATCTCTTTATTAGGAGATATTAGGAACACTATGCATTAGTAGAGGATCCCAATATCTCAGTTACAAACCTAAGCAATCTGTACTTGAAGATTAAGAAATAAATTGACAGCAAAGCAAAGGGTGGGAAGCTATTTTCTAAAAAAAGGAAAAGAACATCTATAGCTTATCCTTTAATGCACACTTAATTTAACACCTAATAGATCCCATATCACACCAAGAGAGATGAACTGGTAACCGTTGCTTGGATTTTACTTCTGCGGTGAAATTGATAGAGGGGAAAAAAAAAATTTAGGAAAAGGATGTACGAACCGCTAACATGGACAAAATGTTGCAACGTTTTTGTCGTTAAAGGGGTTGTTTCGCTTATTAAGCAAAATGTACGTCCCTTTCATCAACAAGCTAAAAATAGCACATGGTTATAGTTAGGTAAAGATGACGTCATAAAGGGGGTGAATTTAGATTTTTTTTTTTCCTTCCTTTTAAAAAAAATTGGGGTCTCCCAGTGAAGATATAGCATGACAAGGATGTTGACGTACATGTGCGCTTCCTGTCCAATAGATGATATTTTCTTGGGCAAGCATGTGTTTTGATTGGATTACAATGTTAAGGAATTTCCAAAATATCAACAAGCTTTTTTTTTTTTTTTTTTTTTTTTTC